GGGCTATTCGGCATGCGCGGTCGTGAATTTTACTGACGGTGTTTTTGTATCCTAAGGTCGAACCGTAGCTTTCTGCAGGCGAAGCGACACTCGGGCACCGGGCCGAGATGGCCTCGATTTTTTCGAGTTAAACTATTGAGATCTCTATTTCCCGTTCGTTTTCGCTCGCGTTAATAATGCCAATGAAACCCCTTCCGCCGTGATTCGTGACCAACGCGTTACCTAAGTACAAATCGTCGGAAATGCGAATTTGCGGGACATATCCTTCCGGGATGTTTGCATTGCTAATGCGTATGGGTATTGTGACGCAAGACCGAGGCGGGATTACTACGGTATTACGCTGTAAAAAGGGAATCGTAGTTCCTCGCCAGACGATTGTTTTTTTAACGAAATCAATTTTTGTAGCATCGCACAAGAAGTCTGACCCTAAGATCTCTTGAGATATTGGGAAGTCGTCTTTTACGACCTGCAATGTTATGCCACAGTATAATTAGTAGGTCCACTTCATGTCGGCGCCTTTGATCTCCTTTTCCAGATCACGTGAGCATCTATCATATTAAATCCAGGATCGAATTGAGAAAAGTGCCTCACAAGTAATAAAACAGATAAGTAATCATATGGATTCGATACAGTAAATCAATAAATTCAATGTGTGAATTAAATAAAACGTTTCATTAGTAACAATTATTTGTAGGAGTGATCACTAAAGAAAATTTCTGATTTGTATTTGCTTATAAATTGTCTGCACATATGTATGTACGTTCCTATCGTCTTACTTTCATTGGATCCAACCCAAAACAAAAATTGCGCGGCGATACCTGCGCGAAGACTCAGGTTTTCGCTGAGTTGACCTACTGGTCATACTGTGGTTATGCTGTGATCCATGAATTTTATGTCAACTGACCCAAGCGTTGCTATGTTACCGTCGGTTATTCCGCTAAGGAGAATCGAACGGTTTGTGAAAACTCGTACCTCTGGATGCAAACTGCGCGCTTTTATTAAATTAGGCGCGGCGCTTGTGTCGATCATAAATTCGGTATCGCATAGAAGTCCGTCGGCGGGAATAGTAATAGTAGGCGCATGGGAAAAATCGTTAGGGTTTAAGACTGTGACTCGTCGTCTCACGTCTACTTCGTTGGTCGATTGTATTTCGATCGCTTTTATCAGACGGCCTTCCTGTGATCTTCCCACTCGAGGTTCGTCCGTCGCTCTCGAAGGGTTGTTGGCGTTTCCCTGTTGGGCGCGAGAATTATTGTATTCGCATTTACGACATTCTTCGATCTCGTGACCGGCATTTTTACAATAACGACATCACTTAGTGGATCGATCATTAAAATAGCGATTCACGGGATTATTTGTGGTCGATGTTAGATCCTCGCGATTATGATAGGGCCTAGAGGGTCGCACGTCAATATCTCGCGGATTATCGCGATACCGCGTATCGTCGGAATTTCCAGGATGAGACCCGGGATCTCTTTGCAATGGTCGATATTTGGGAGGTGTTAGGCTACGTTGTGGCCCGGAGTAAACTAAGGGTCGGCGGGTCGGATTTACGACCGTTTGTCTAGGTAGAGAGTCTTCGCGTCGGGATCGTGAGCCATATCTTTGTTTATCGAGTTCTTCCCTTTTTGCTAGGGCCTTGGCCGCCGCGAACGCTTCGAAAGGTTGCACGTGATGTTCTGGTCTCATCTGTAGCCTGTACTGGAACGGGAGTCCGTCGCAAAACGATCTTGCGGTCAGGATTTCTATATCCGCGATGGCTGACTATCTAATGTCCCTTTCGCGCAACGCTCTGCATCGAGAATGGCAGAGCGAAGATCTTTCACACGGCTAATATAATCAAGCATATGTTCCTCCCGTTTTATATAGACCGTACTTAATTCTCCGCGATACTGATCGATGGTTTTCGGCGATCCGAAAGCTCCGTTTAATAAATCAATTGGCTGAGTTATAGTTTCGCATGGTTCGTCCTCCACGGCGTAATATGCTCGGCCGCGTAACTTATTTATTAGTATTTTAGTAAGATTTCTCTCGGACGAGGGAGGTACGATTTCTTTAGCGCGACGGCAAGCTCAAATAAATTGTGAAAGAGGAATATTATACCCATCAAAATACGGAATGAAATCCGTGACTTCTCGGAAGGATACTTTAGGCGTTAGCGATGGTTCGAGGAGACTTTCCCCGAAGATTTGCAAATGTGGATCGAAGGGCCGCTGACCTTCGGAGAGAGATATAGGAGCGTCCATAGTTTTTTCCATATCGCGCCGTAGATTACTGAGTTCGCGAATTATTTCGTCTTTGAAGGAGAAAAGTGTCCGCACGCTCGCAAATAAAATTTGCCTTTTCTCGCTGAAAATCTTCACTTCTTTTAAAAAGACCGCGACTTCATTTCGCATTTGTTCTTTCTCGGCGATTGGCGATTGCCGACAAACTTCCGCTTCCTCATCGGTAAGACGCGATTTCTTTCCACCCCGGCGTGTATCCATTATCGGATCAAATCTATCCCATCGCTGTCACCAAAAATGTTACGTCGGCCGAGGTCGGTTCGCGCTAAATTTACTAGTCGCGACTCTAACCCGAGACTACCCGTGGTCTATGAGTGTGTGGTTCTTTAGAAGGCCGTGCGCACATTAAATTATTGTAAGTATAAAATGGAAAAGGCGCTAATCAAATTAAAGTTCTCGCGTTTATGAGATAGCGATGATTGTTGTTCCGGGGAAGTTCCTGCGCGAGGTAAACGATACCGTCGGAAATTAGGGCACATCGAGAAGTGACTTACCGTCAGCTGGTGGTTCTATCTTTTACCTTAGACAAAAGGTTTCGGTAATCGCCCCTGGCGAAGAATCTCCGTTGGAAAGCTTCGATGTTCTTGTTGTGGATTCCTGATTCTGGACGCGTCCGTAGAGGTGTACCGACAACTATCACTTAGCGATTTAAGCAGGGTAGCGTTATAATCGGAGTCAAGATAAGAAGGCGAAGAAATATTCACACTATTGAATCACTCAAAAATACAGTTTATTATATGGAGTTGAATTACAATCGTCCGCAAAACTCTATTGGTATTAAACTACCACTAATGTTACGACTAACTTATCTTTAATTAGAATTAGATATTAAAGAATCAGAGAGAATTTGAATGGTGTCGCACGCGGAGGGGCGGTCGCGAAAATTTTTACGAAAATATTCTATGTGCGCGTGTCGGAGGTAGCGGCGCGTGCTTCTATTGCGGCGTCGCGAGTTCCGCTCGCGTCTGCGAGAAGGCTACTACAGTGCCCCCTTGATCCTCCCACGGGCGTTCCTTAACTCATGCTAAAAACGCCAGGAAACCCGACAGGATTCCTGGACACGCGTCGCATACGCTTATTGCGCGAGGGGTCACGAGCGGCGTGCTGCACGAGTGGCACTCCTCGAGGTTACGGGGGAAACCGAAGTGTACGTAGTGGCGAACCGCGCGGTAGTATGAGGACTTCTCAGTTGACGGGAGTCCCCGGTAACACGCGTCGCACTGGCCTATCTGGTGTACGCGATGTAGGTAGAGCGTGGGGTTAACGCACACCGCGCTGGCAATCCACGTGGCAAACACTGCGCTCGGCGTCGAAAGATCTCGTGTCGACTCGGTATTGAAAGGCGGGCACATACCGGAATTCGGCATGCATTGAAATAGTTGCGGCTCGAAATTGTCAGCAACGAATACGCGAGTATTGCCGCGCGAGAGGGGAGTGACTTATCGCGGGTAAAAGAAAAAGATAATTACCTTGTGGCGGGGTGTTCGGCAGGAACTGGAGTCCCGGTACTTCCGCTTTGGCAAGATGGCGTGGCTTGGGTTGCCCGTTGTCCACGCTGGCAAGATGGAGTTTACACGTGGCGTCTCGGTGGTTCGGCAGGAACTCGGCCTCAATTCACTCGCTTCGCCCTGTTTTCACTTTTCGAACTTCGCACTGCGGGGTTTAACGCATGGGAAAGGAGAATGAAGGCAAGGACAGTAAAGAATATGAAATTCGATTTTGATCTTAGATATTAATATTTTAATTATTTAGTTAACAATTATTTCTACATTTAACAATGCTACTCAATTTGGATTAATAATAGAGATCGATTTAGAAGTGGAACTTGAATTTATGATTAGTAATGAACTTAGAATTAGAAATAGAATATTAGAAGCAGAATTAGTAGGAAGGAGTTGGAAGAATAGACACGTGGCACATATCTTACGTAATTCGATGCACACAGGTAGGACGCTGGAAGAAAACAGCCTGGGGGGCCCTTGTTCGCTCGAGGGCCGGCGTCTCTTCTCCCCACTCCTCCTGCGGAAATCCGGCAAGGCGCGTTCGCAACGCCTCGGCGGGGAAACGAACGGCAGCGCCCTTCAGGGACTCGTTCTAGTCGCTGCGTGTGGACTTTGGATAAAGGCTTTGAGTATATAGATACTGGAGGTGGAATGCTTTTGTTCTCTGCAGGCCGCTAGAGTCCTAGATTATCAGAGAAGCGCGATCGGCTTATGGCAGTATCGCAAAAGTATTAGAAAATATTAAAAATGGCGTCGAATGGCCAATCATAAGTTTGATTTATTCGGCAGCCATTTATAATAGCGATAAATCAATCTTATGATTGGCCATTTGCGTGTCCAATCAGGATTCGTAACACCGGTCGCACTTCTCTGATAATCTAGGACTCTAGTGACACTCTCTTCTAGCTAGGGGAAACAGTGCAGTGATTTTCGATGAGGAATTTTATATGGACGTGACAAAAGCAAAAACTATTAACTACCAACGCGAGTTCTGATTGGCTTCTGCTTTTCTGTTTTCCGCTTTTCTGTCAAGGTG